GGTGCCGGGAGAAGCGGAGCGGGCGAAACAGCAAGGGGCTGGCCTGGGAAAAGCTCCGCCAGCATCCCGCGTACTGAGAGTGCGGCACAGCCCCGGGGCACCAGCGTGGCAAACAGCAGGCGACCCTCGCGGCCAGCGCCTCGCTGCCTGTCCCCACAGCTTCCGTCACATACTGGGCGGCGTGCAGGAACTCGTCTGAGGGAGCAGCTGAGTGTACAGGACATCCGACGAAATGACCATGGAGAAAATAAGGCACTTCCTTTTCTTTAGACTTATTCCAATACTTAAAAAATAAAAAAGAAAGACTAAAAGGCTCTTTTGGTCTTCTGTTTCTTGACAACCACCAGAAAAAATCATTTAATGAAATAAAGGGTTTCTTTGTTCTTTTTTTCTTTTTTTATAACACTTGAAAGTATAAAATGCTACATTTCCAAAAATATATTTTTTTTTCTGCACCAGCACCCTTGTATAGTAAAAGTATCTACTTTTTTGTTCATTTTGTTTCAATGCACTACACTTTTATCTACAATTTCATTACATGTATACAGCAAATAGGCAAGCATGGCTTTTACATCCTTAATGAAATTTTTTCTATACAGGGAGGTTTAAAAAAAATAGTTGAACAGTTTGCCCAGTAATGTGACACATAATGCATGTACCTTGTTCTCATGTACTCCTCCGAGGAGACTAAAATATGGTTAAAATAATTTAAACTCAGATTTCGCTTTAATAGTGTTGCTGTTTTGTTCTCTGCGTTAATGTAGTTCTGCAAAGTCGTATCGTGATCTGCATTTCATGGCACACGTTCCTTTAAAACGTCCAATTTGGCAGGCAAGAGCAAGAAGGCTGCAAAAAAAAGAGCAGGCCCTGCGGCTGCCAGCGGCTCCGGCGCTGGGCACCCCCAGGCCACCCCACCGAAGGTTCATGCATGATGCATCACCACACCGTACATTCAGAGAGCGCCTGGACTGCGCGGGGCTGCGCTTCGTGGGGTTTCGTTTCTTTTTTGTTAATTTTTTTTTTCTGAGAAGAAAAATACTCCTAGAAGTCTCTCACAGTAACTGCCTCTGTCATCGGGAAGTTAAGGGACATCTGTCTCCATCGGGCGCGAGGCCTCCTCGCCGCTCGCTGGGGCGGACCCGGCAGCGGCAGCAGCAGCAGGAGGAGGAGGAGGAGGAGGAGAAGGAGGAGGAGGAGGATGGTCAGTGCGAGGGACGAGCTGGACCTTATTGCTTTACTACTATTCAGTGCAGGTTCTAGAACCACTTTCACCCAACCAGGAGAACAACAGAAAGCGGAGTTGGAGGACACCAATTTCTCTGTCTGTTTTGTTAGGTGGTAAGACGAACGGACAAGAGCCCCAGCTCGCTGCACTGAAGACAGGCAAGCGCAGGCGTTTACCAGTTAACTGATCAGCAGGCAGGCATGGTCAGGTCATCATTGGGTGAAGAGTTCAGAGGTCAGAAGGTCATAGGTTAGTTGCCGGTGGCGGCTGGGTGGTTAGGAACAAAACAAAAAAAAAAAAACAACAAAAAACAAAAAAAAAGAAAGAAAAGATAGAGAAGAGATTAGTTCCAGCTAGTGACGGCTTAATGACAACATGAAAACTAATCACAACTAATAAAAAAAAACAGGCATGTTTAATTCTGACATACTGATCGACACCATCTACGGAATGCACTAAAATCATGACAGCCCTCCATCATGATTTGGACACGGGAAGGAGAAGCCCGCTCCCACAAACCCGGTTAACAGGAGAAATAAGAGATAAAATACGACTAACGACTAATGGTTAGTAGCAGTCGATGAAGGGAACTGGAGAACGAACAACGGTGAAGGGCTCTGGCACCGGGCGGCAGCCGCCCGGCCCGCAGTCAGCGCTCGGCATCGGTCTCGGACTGCTATTAAGCATTAGTGCCTCCCCGGTGCAAGCGCCGCGGCCGCTAGTAACGAGGGGGGGATTAACGACCGGCGGTTAACAGCGCGGAGCCCTCGGCCGAACCGCGGGCCGGGAGCAGCAATTTGGTTCAACAAACTGCGGGCCAAACAAAGCGTCGGTGTTCAATAAACTTTTTATTGCCTTTCATTTCTTCTATTTACAAACGACATGGAGTTTCTCGGCCTCATGGTACAAAGCGATACTAAACTGGAGTCTGGCAACGTAGGCGGCATCGCGGGACGCGGGAAAGCGCTCGGCCCGCTACGTTAGCCAGCGCTTTCCCGTCCGAAATACTATTTTACACATATAGGACACTTATAAAATGCACTTGCATGTAAACACTGTAAAAGTCCTGCCATTTTAAAGTCTATACTTAAAAAGCTCTAAGTACATCAAAAAATAGAGAAAATATCTAATCGATACTAATAAGGCATTTTAAAACTACAAACAGCTCTCTTTATTCATTTTCAAAGCTAATACTCTGCAAATACAATAAAATCTGACATTTCATAT